AACTCAAACAGAGCGAGTATGTTTGAGGCCCCTGCTGATTGGCCTATTTAAGCACATACTCCGTCCAGCATCGACTTCCGTAAGAAGACCGATTGGCCCCAACGAGTGTATTCCATGACGCAGGCCAAGTAGCTCCACAAAAGCGTCAAATGTCTCTAACTGGTTTGCAATAATACTTCCTCTTGCGAGGCTAACCTATTCACAAATAGTTTACCTTGCATACCCTACTTATTCTAATCAATGCAAGCAACAGAAAAACCAGCGCAAGCGGGCAGACAGGGGAGACTGAGGCAGCAGCTCTCTCAAATCTAGGAAAAATAAGACGAAGAAGTGATCGCTAGAATATGAATTTTATTCGCCTGACATTTCGAAATCCATTCCTCCCCCCCCCTTTCTCAAGTCGACTTGCGCTCAAATCAGCTAGCTGTACGCCTGAAAAAGATCTGTGACCGCACCTAGACAGGGGCATCTCGTCCCCGTATATGAACCTCCAGTGGGCTTAAGGTCAATCTGTTTATACTTTACTTTACTTTATATTTGACGCCACGTCAATATCAATCAAATAACTGTGGCCATTTGGGGGTTTCAGTTTAAAATTTCCTGTTTCCTACTGGCTATATTCCCTATTGGCTACTGACCTGCTTTGATTTACTCATAAGTGGTTTATTCAGTCACCTCTGATTTGCCGCAAGTTGCTTTTTCAATTATCGCGCGTTTTTAGATGCTATATATTAGCTTCACCGGTTATGTTTGCTCACCGCAATGTGTTTCTCGGTCCGCTGACGTTTCAGACAGCTGGGCCGGCCGTTCTTTGTCAAAGCTTGAACTGACTTTATTGATAAGTTATTCAATGTTTTGTACGTGTACGTGTTGGCTATGGGCTGATTGACTTTTCTACGTTCGCTGTTTGGCCCTCCGCGTGAGTTTTGGCATAACTTGACGGCAGGTAGTGTTGTGTTTCGTCCCCACGGTAGAGGATACTGGTAATCCTGCTCCCTCTTTCGGTGGTTTCATCACGGGGCCGTGTTTGTATGCAAATCCTAAATTCAGATTGATCTGGTTCTGTTCTCTACTTACTTAATGGCGTAGGAACTTGTAGGCCGCCGGAAGGTCCAGATGCCTGTTGATAGAATTGGCGTCTGAGTACCATGCCCCATCTGTATAGCCACTATTATCACCGGCCCCGTACTACACCATTCGGGGTTTTTGTTTCCGTGGTATTACCTATAATAGACTGTTGCCTTTTATTGTAGAGATTACGAAAAATGAGTCCGTGAATAGTAACGTGGGCAGACCTAAACGGAGTGATACGATAGTTGTGCGAGGCTTGCTCACTTCATATTAAGCCGGTCATACTTTGGGTTATCAGTTATAGTACTTAGAAACTCTTAAATTGACCTCTAATTTCCTTGGTATATTTCAGATGAAGTGGACCATAAGGAGAGCGAGCCAGTTGAGACAGCTCTGACCTGCGAAAGGACCATAGCACAGGTGCAAAGGTAACCGGTTGTTTTTGCCCTTCCGATAATTTTTTTAATCTGTCATGTATATCCCTCTGGCTATGGGTCTTCTCTTGCAGTAATTGGCTTGGAACAATTTCAGTGTTATACCATCTGTCGCAAGGGTGAAAACAGAGCCAAAAACAGAGCTAAAATTAGCGAACGATATGAGAAGGACATAGCGGTATCAGTGGCTGTGTTCAAGGGTTCGGCCAGGCAACAAGTGCTGATCAACAGATCGTCTTTTCAAAAAAAAACATACTAATGTTTTTAGGTAAAGAAGAAGAAGGTCAAGTCAGGTTTATTAGGGAAATATTGGTAAATACCTTTGAACTCCCTCTTGGTACAGAGCAGCTATGATGCAGAACATGTGGCGTTGCCAGTAATGGGACTGCGTAAAAAGGGCAGACAGTAAAAAACTCCTTTGGCATTGTTCAGAATTCCAGGGGTTTGAATGCCATTTGCGGGATCATGGTTTTATTCGTCTGAACTTTCGAACTCTTACTGGAGTCCACCGTCATATATAAAAGCGTCAACGAAAAAACAAGCAACAGTTATGGGGAACAGGGGCCAATTAATCACCAGTACCGTCAGTCTGAAGATGCCTGCGCAGGGCGATGTATGCTGGCGCCAGATCGATAAATCGATTGATAGAGTTCTCATCCGAGGCGCAGGCTTCAAGCAATTCTCAGCCTGCCTTGATGCCAGCGTGGAAAACTATCTTTGCAGCTGCGAAGTTAAACTCGTGATCCGTCTCGTAGGTGTGGGCAGTCATTTGTGATAATGCGTCACCCCGCCTTACAGCTAGCTTATGTTCGTGTATGCGCGAACCAAGCACGCGTCCACTTTGTC